CATGGTGGCAGGAGAGAACTGAGACTTGCGGGTTGTCCTCTGCCTCATACACATGCAATAGTGGGTTTGCCCATGCACCATGAATAAGTAAATATAATTACAGTTTTTTTAGACATTCGTTCATTTTTTTTTCCTCAGGCATGCTTTGTGTTTCCTATTCTGTTCCTTCTTTTGAGATCCAAATGCTATATTTATTCTTTAGTCTGATTGGGGTTTCCCATAGTTTAAGAATGCACTATTCTTTGGTTTGTTGGAAATGGTTCTTCTCTTAATGTTTTATTTTGATAACGGATTTTGTAGCATCTTCAAAAGCCAGCTTTTCTTAACCTAAATTACCTTGCCTACCTTTTACCTCTGAGCTTTTACCTTTCTCTATTTTTGTATTTCTTCTCTTTCCTTTTTTGGGGGTTGTGGGTGGGTTTTAGACAGGGTTTCTCTGTGGAGCCTGTCCTGGAACTAGCTCTTGTAAACCAGGCTGGCCTTGAACTCACATTGTATTCCACAACACATTGCCATGAGGCCTCTGTCAGCTCCAGGCCTCTGGTTGCTGCTACAGAACCAATAATGGATTCCCACTGGGGCTCCTCTTGGATATCCTATTGTTGTCCTGTATCATGGGGATCCTGTTGTTTTGGATCTGTAGGTTCATCCCCTTCACATGCTCCAACAGTTAATAGACTATGTGGATGTTGGGGTGGGCCAATACCTAGCCCTGGTTCTGGGCCTGGGTAGTAGCTGGTTTGGTCAGCTCACCAGCATTCCCTCATCCTTACTACCCACTGGCTACAGTGAACGAGAAAGCGGCCTCTGCTTCCCATATGGGCAGCTCACTAGAGCTGGCCCTGATGTTGGCGAAGCAGGTGTAGCCAGTGGGGGTCGGGGCTAGTTCTCCCACTCTTGTGACCTTAGTGCCACCTAGCTCTCTCCTCTGCTATAAGTGGTAATGGGTGAAAGGGGGAGAACATCTTTTCCTCACCCATGTCAGCACATGGTAGGCGAGGGGAAGCAGGGTCAGCTCTCTTGTTCTCACACCCTCAGGGTTGGCTCACCTACATCACTGACCGCAGGATTAGCTTTAGTATGCTTCCCAGAGAAGGTTTGGTGCCATCTTTCTGGGGTGGTGGGGAGAGGGTGAGCTGTCCCCTGAGGGGTTTGACCAGTTCACCGGCTGTAGTATCAGGCAAGAGGCAGGGCCAGTGAGGGGTGGGGCTGGCTCTGCACAGCATTGCTCCAATGACCCCATGTTAATTCGGGCAATGGACATCACCACAGACCCAGCAGCAGCTTGGGCCCAGACACCCAAGCACCGTGGCCCCTGTGGCAGCACAGACCATTCAAATCAGCACATCCCCATGGCAGCATGGCCCCAGGGCACCAGCGTGGTCACAGATGGCTAGCCAGACCCCGGCATCCACAGAGCCCTTGGTGGCAACTGGAGCCACGCACACCATCCAGGACCCCAGTTATCACGGGGCCATAGACCCTGACATGGCCCTATGCAGTGACCTGTGACTGGACGACACCATGGTCCCTGGTGGCAGCATGGCCCTTGGATACACTCATGACCATAGGTTGCAGCCCAGATCCCGAGCATTTATGTGGCTTTTGGTGGCAATACAAGCCACAGACATTACAGACCCTGGGTTTGGTAGGACCATGGGCACAGCCAGGATGTCACCATGGTCCCAGATGGCAGCACAGCATCAGCATGGCCTTCGGACACCAATATGGTCCCGGGTGGTCCCAGACCCCCAGCATGGGCATGGTCTTCGACTGTCTCAGGAGCCACAGACATCCACACAGACCCTGGCTGCAGCAGGGCCATGGACGCAAACATGGCCCCAGTTGACAGCCCTTGTCACCCAGTTGGCTTGACCCTGGCAGCAGCACAACCGTCCCTCAGCCACCAACATGGATACAGGTTCCTTGCTGCCCAGACCTCTAGAATCCATTTGGGCCCTAGCACTAACATGGTCCAGGGATGTAAACACAGACCCCAGCCACAGCAGGACTGTGGACCCAGATGTGGTCCTTGACAGCCTGGGCCAGCTTGGCCCCAAGTGGCTGTGCATGCCACCCAGATTGGTGTGACCCCCACAGCAGCACAACCCTCAGATACCAATAGGGCCACAGATGAAGCCCAGTCACAGCCCAGGCCCTGATATCTCCCTGGACTCGAATGCCCCTATGGCCATTCATATCAGCTCATTCCTCACCACCCTCACCTCTCCAGATCTGCCTCTTCCTAGCCCACAAACCATTCTGCCTCTCCCTCTCTTCCATATCCCCAGCCTGTACTCTTTCACCACATTGATGCTCAGCTGCCCATTGCCTGGACTCTTAGTTGGGTCACAATGGCACTTGACTGACTTGTCGCCCCAGCCACAAGGTATAGCGTGGAGCTGTTGTTCTTCCTCTCTCCCATATCTAGGCCTAGCCACCAGGTGGGCTCCTGGTTTATTATGACCCCTACAGACTCAGAAGTGGTGAGGGGAGTGGGCACCACCTGTGTCCACCAGTGAATCAGGCCTGAGTGGGGCCAGCGACTTCTGGTTATAACGTCTGTTTCTATTACTGTGGTCAGAGAAAGAGGCCCATCCCATTTTGTCTTTTAGAAAAAGTAAAATCGACGTCTTTGTGGCCTAATAACCTTCTATCTATCTATCTATCTATCTATCTATCTATCTATCTATCTATCTATCTATCTATTTATTTATTATGCAATATTCTGTCCGTGTGTATGCCTGCAGGCCAGAAGAGGGCACCAGACTCCATTATGAGATGGCTGTGAGCCACCATGTCGTTGCTGGGAATTGAACTCAGGACCTTTGGAAGAACAGGCAATGCTTTTAACCTCCGAGCCATCTCTCCAGTTCCTTCTAATAACCTTCTTACTAAGTCTGTGTATTCATATGAGAGGGGCAGTGGGGCCTGGAGTGGAGCCCTGGGCCTTTGTAGATGCAGGATAGACTGAGTAGGCGAGTGCTCTGCCCTCAGATAGTGCTCTGCACCCATGCTTATCCCCTATGGATCTTACTTTCTACAGTGAGTTTCGAAGCCATGAGGTCTTCTGATTTTAAAGACACTTTAAAACATTTACCTTGAGGTTTTTTTAAGAACCACCCTTACAAATTCTGAATTTCTTTGATTGTGGTAGGACTCTTGAGAATATATCCAGGGTACAAGGCACTTAATGGTCCTTACCAATTTAGAATAATTTGCATTGGACATCAAGAACTGGTCATGTCTGTTAACCCAGCACTTGGGAGGCTGATAGGAATTCAAGGCCAGATTTGACTTAAACATTGAGGCCTTGCTTTGAAAGGTGAGAAAAAGGAAGGAAGACTTACAGACTAGGACATAAAATTGATTTATTTTCAATTGTGATTGAAAGAATAATTTTTGGCTAATCTCTAGATAAATTTGATACCTGTTCTTAGATGGTAAGAAATATCTAAATAATTATGTATAGTATACTTAAAATTCAAAACTATGTGTTAGCTGGGACTTTGGCTCAATGATAAGGCGCTTACCTAGCACTCAGAAACCTCTGGATTTGATTGCCAGCTTGGGAAAACAGAATTTACTACCCCCAACTTCACTGCTTTAAATGAATTTCATTTAGTATATATATTCCATTTATTTATTGTGTGTATTTGTGCATGCGCCACTCTGTACGTGTGGTCAGAGGACAACCTGCATTGTCAGTTCCTGCCTCCTGCTGTTTGGTCCTGAAGATTGAACTAGGCTTAATGGTGGTCACCTTTATCTTCCTCGCTGTCCCACTAGCCCAGTAATCTCTATTTTAAAGCCAAATTTTATATGCTTATTTTTCTTCAGGCATTTAAACAGCTATTTAGAGATAGTTGCACTTTAATTGAGCTCATACTCTTAGAGAAACTAGTTCTGTCGAGGATTAGTGTCTGAGTGATAGGTCCCATAACTACTGTTGTCAGGTCCGTAAGTGGGAGTTCTGTCGGGAGGAAAACCAAGGACTTTTGCATATTGGAGGCTGGAACTCCAAAGCAGCTGTAACTGGCTTCAGTACAGAGCTGGGAATTCAATTCCAAAGAATCCTGAAAATGTCGTCCGAGTCACCTTTCCACTCTACCTTCCTCAGAGCCTAGTCTCCAAGTCATAATTTGAAGGTGTTTTACTATACAAATATGGATGTGAGAATTTTTAACTGTTCTCTGTGGCCTTTCTAGTACTCACTGAATAGGTATAGCAGAGCTTGACCACAAATGCTTAGGTAGAAAACTTTCTGTTGAAATAGTTGCGTCTAGTTTGCAATAAAACATAAGAGACTCTAGTTAGATTTCTGATGTCTGTATTTTTCTGTGTTCTTATAATTTTTTTCATTATAACTGCAAGTGTTAACTCTGCATCTGAAAACAATGTGCTAAAAGATTGATTGCATTTTTATAAAAAAATTACACTGTTAAAATTCAGTTATTAACACTCTGAAGTCTCCCTTGTTTTCTGGTTACATTGGTAGTGCCTGCATATCTCCTCACTGCACGTTCTCATTGTGACAGAGCATCCTCCCTGAGGAGCCGACACATTAGCAGTCAGGTCTCTTATTGTTACTGTCAGTGAGCAGTTGCTGGGAATCTACATTTATATTTTTAAGTAAGATGGTCGAGCCAGCTTAATCATTTGACAAAATCCCATACAGGAATTGGTTCAAGACGTAAAGGGAAAAAGTGATGACAAATTATTGTTTATCTTCAGACTTTTCTTTTTGCCCGATAATTAATTTTGCCTCTGTTAATTGCTTTACAGGCAGTCTTGTAACGTTACACAGCAGGGGCGGAAGGGAGGGGAAAAGGAGCTGTGACTGTGGTGTGCGTCTCAAGCCCCGTGCTAGAGAGGGAGAGCGAGCGAATAAGCAAGCTGGTTTGACCAGAAACAGAACTGCCTATGACAGATTAAGAGACAAGCAAGGCTTGGAATCCGAGAGCAAGCAGAGTGGAAATTTACTGCGGCTCTCTGTGAGTGTTCAAGTGATCATTTTCTGCTAACGTTTTCCGGTGGTAACTGTTACTCTTCAGAGAGTCAGAAAGTCCAGGCAGAATTGTGCAGTCTTTCTCCACCACACTTGAGTAGGAGGAGGCATCCTTTATTAAATGGAAGAGAAAAGCTACTTCATCTGAAGTGCTTTGACCCCGAGACAAGAGCTGTCTTCAGCACCTCACCATGGCTCTATGTTTTGTTGCTTAGACACGCTGGGGAGTTTCTATAGCCCTTGGTGAGTAACCGCAAGGTTTTCTGTGTTGGTTTGGGTTGAGGAAAGTGAATTAATAAGAGATAATTGAGTTCTACAGCAATGCTTATATGTTAAATTGGACTGTTGCTTGTTTCTCTGCACGATGAACTGCTGTTACTAGGAGAGGTCCGGAAAAACAACAACTACAAAACAGTACTTCTCTGTTGCCTAAGGCACTTGAATCCTTACCAACTTTTCTGTGTCCTCCAAATATCTTATTTTGGAAATGGTTTTTTATTTACAGTTTCCAAAAATAGTGGCAGTTTCTGTTCTTCATGTTTTTCTATCAAGTATTTGAAAATTTGGTTCTATCTATATATTGTCAGGAAATTTAAAGCTATTGTCATGGTGTTTGATATTATAAGTTACTATGAATTACATCCTTCCACCATAATTCAGCTTAAAGTATTGCTAGCATTAATTGAAAGTACATATAATTTAAATGTTAGAAGCTACTATAAAACCCAAAGTAACACCTGATTTTTCCAAAGTTCTGTGAGGAAAAATAAAAGGGAGATAATTTACCTATATAATTTATCATTGGTGTAAGATGAATAAATATTCATTTTTGAGTTAAAAGAGTTAGGCATTTTCTTCTTATAGTGAAACCAAGTTCCCATATAGTCGGTCATGTAGCTCGCTTGCAGAGAATATAACTAGAAGTATGTGTGTAAAGAGAAAAGAAAGTAAATTCTTACTGTGTTTATTTACATTCCAATAGAGCCTTCATTTGTATAATCTTTAAAAGGATATTGTATATTCTCTACAACTGCATATAGGTGTAGACATATGTGTTATATAAAAAGGTATGCATATAAAGTGTGTGATTATTCTCCTGTAGAAGGAAGTATATATTGTTAACTATTAAATTGATTCATTGCATAAAGACAACTATTTTGAGCAAAGTTTCTATTCTACCCTGTGCAGCCTCAGGAAATATGTGCGTTAGGTTATTGATCCAAGTGAGTCTCCTAAGGCAGAAAACATTAATGAAAATGAAGATTCCTGCAGAGAGCCAGTAAACTCTGGGCAGGCGTGGAGCCTGGACATAAAACAGCTTGCTTTTTCCAGTAGCTCCTCTGTCCTACGTGTACAGAAGCCTGTAGAACAGGTTTTCTTTTGTGGCTTTTTTCCCCTCCAGTTTGTTGATCTAACATATAAGAAGCAATTCAGTTGGCCTGCGGAAACTTCTGAACAAACTCTTAAACGATTAAAGTCAGTATTTTTATTTCCTTATATAATCTCAATACTCCATCCTTAGGTGGATGGAATTTACATTAAACTTGACAGTCTTCTGGGGAAAACTGCTTTAGTAATTTGCTAGTGTTACCTAGTGATGTCACCATTTCTTAAGCACACAGTAATGTAAACACGGAGAGAAAGAGTATGTCATCGCAGTTTACAAACGCTTTATTTCAGGAGCTCATTCGTGAGCAGACTGCTGAGGGTAAGAGCCTGTTTCCCTGGGAAATCACTCATCAAGTGGCTGTTAGCTTTTTATTTTAGGCTGAGAATGTAATTTATCCATGCTATAGAAAGACCATTATCACCTTTAAAGAGACTAAAAAGTCAGTTCTAGTGCCAAAACCAAATGAGAAACAACTGTGGCAAGGTGCTTATTTCTGCTACGTATCAATGCTTAAAGAACAGCAAGTATGGTACAAAGTCAGTATGTTTGGAAGGGTGCTTAAATGGGATTCTTAGTTATTTCCAAAGTTGGTTTTAATTTTTCTAGTGCCCAATCTAACATTGCTGTCAGAGATTTCTTTTGGTATATAAAACGTTCTAGCCTTTGCTTCTCTGTGTAGCAATTCTGGAGTCCAGTACAGTGTGAGTAGCACATTGTAGGCACCTGATAAGATTACCACCTGAGGACTGGCCTGTTTCTTTGGTCTACATCAATGGAATGGAGAAACTGGTGAGATGCTTAGTTGGTCCGGTGCTTGCCACCCCAGCACCCTCTTAAAAATCCAGGTGTAGGGGGCCAGAGAGATGGCTCAGAGGTTAAGAACACTGACTCTTCTTCCTAGAGGTCCTGAGTTCAATTCCTAGCAACCACACAGTAGCTCACAACCATCTGTAAGATTTGGTGCCCTCTTCTGGTCTGCAGGGATCCATGGGGCAGACCGCTGTATACATAATTAACAAATAAATCTTTTTTAAAAAATTTTCAAATCCAGGTGTGGTAATACACTCCTGCAATATTAGTACTGGGGAGGTGAATCCAGGATTCCAGTGCTTGCTATCCAGCTAGTCTTGCTGAATTGCTGAGCTGCTGAGCTCCATGTTCAATTAGATACCCTGTCTTAGTAAAATAAGGTGGAGAGAAATAGAGGAAGATGCTTAACATTAACCTCTGGCCTCCGCTTGTATGCATACCTATATGCATACCCACTCACACATACATATGCATACATGAACAACACACACAGACTTTTCCCACAAGAGGGAGGAGAGAGAGAGAGAGAGAGAGAGAGAGAGAGAGAGAGAGAGAGAGAGAGAAATAGCTTTCTCAAAGTGTCCAAAGAAGTATAGGGGCCTAAAGGCACACATTTTCCATTATAAGAAAGAGATGGCCTGAAGTGGATGGATTGAATTATGAGATGTGAACAAGCAAAATAGGACAGAGTGGTCATAACTGACAAAAGACTGTAGCACATCTAGGTGGCAGTCCTGAGTTAATGGACTTGGTGATGAGAGGAAGCCAGGGTATGTGTTAAGTATCTTGACTACATGAAACATTTTGAAGTCAGAAGTCAGGTGTCAACTCAAAGGGATTACCTATTTTATGTATAGTAGGAACAATATGAAGAAATGTGGCCTACTTGAAAAATTCAGATTAACTCTATCCAAGTTTAACTATCCAGTTCAGTTAGATTGGACCTGAAATTTTCTTAAAAGTGTTCATACACAAAATACCTAAAATATGAAAGCTAGCAGTACCATCGATGTGTTTTGTGAGCCAATAAATAGTTGTAGGCTACACTTAGCTGGAATCACCCTTTCTTTCTTCCATTCCAGAATAATTTAAAAGTAGTGATTTTGAGTTGTCCTAAGTGGCATATAATAGGTCTTTAATTAGTACTTATTAAATAAATTAATAGATTTGGATACTTTCCTGTTATATATACATAAATACACATATTTATATTACAACTTAGAGAAACTAGCCTTTTTCCTCTAGAAGCAAAAAGATCTATTATGACCTTATTGGCATGTATATTATAGTCATACTCATCCATTGGTAATTAAAGGAATTGCTTAAACAGTAATATTTACTGTCTATAAGTGAGAAAACAAACTTCCTAACTTTGTAATTTAAGTTTCCAGCAGAGACTCAACAAATTTCTTCCAACTTTGGAAAGACAAAGAATTATATTAGTATATCAGCCAGAAAAACTAAACCTATTGTGGGTGTATTTTGAGTAAGTAGCTTCAGCTGAGTCACCTTATGTCTATACCCTTTGGTAATATTTTTATAGACTGGCAGTAACAAGGGCAGAGCTTACTGATGCTAGGAAATAATTATTTTCACAGTATCCCTAGAAATCAGACTAATGTCAAGAATGGGATCTAACCACAATTAAGTGTTGTGTTCACTATGTATGCTTGCAGAAGACTGAAAAATGGTGGAGAATCAGTCTCTTAAGTATTTTTTTTATATTTGCTAAGTGTGTGTGTGTGTGTTATGCACACACACTTGCTCATGTGCCATGGCGTGATTATGGAGGTCAGAGAATAAATTGAGGTTATTGGTTCTTCTGTGGCACCACGTGGGTTTCAGACATTGAACTCAGGTCACCAGGTTCAGCAGCAATTTTATCCTGAGCCATCTCAGCAGCCCTTGATTATTCTGTTGTAAAGGAAGCCATTTGGGGATTTCAGTGAGCTTGAATGCTGTCATTATGGCTATTGGTTTGGGAGAATGCTGATCTAACTACAAATCGCGATTGTGAAACTCTAATGTAAAATATCCCTCATTAAAAGTCATTCATAGTTTTTAAATGTAGAACCCTTTTGCTCCGAAGCTGTCAGCGGAAATATTACTGTGGAACTAATAAAGTTCCTGGCCCTTTCTGGAGGAGTGGTATGTCCCTAAACTCAATGTGAGTAGTTTTATGTCTTCTTAATTAAGCTCATATATTATTTCTGTTTTAAATTTATGTAACATGGTGCACTGGAAATAAAGCATAATTACTAAAAGACATGAGTCTCTCTTACAAAAGAGTTTTTATTCTCATAGAAGTCACCTGAGGTGTCTAGATGAATGAGAATTCATAAGATATTTTCCACAAGTATTCTATTTCTATGTAAATTATTCATTTTTAGAAAATATTTCTCCCCCACAGACACTGTTAACAAAATAAACGTAAAAACTAAGTGAAGTCAGGCCTGGTGGTGCACACTTGTAATCCTAGCTATTAAGAGCCCAGAGAAAGGAGGCATTCAAATCAATTTGAACCTCTAGAGCAGTGGTTCTCAACCTGGGGGTTACAAGCCCCTGGGGAGTCAAACAGTGCTTTAATAGGGGTCACCTAAGACCATCAGAGCACAGATATTTACATTACAATTTACAACAGTAGCCAAATTTACAGTTATGAAGTAGCAATGAAAATAATTTTATGATTGAGGATCACCACAATATGACGAACTGTATGTATTAAAGGGTCGCAGCATTAGGATGGTTGAGAGCCACTGCTCTAGAGTAAGAGTTACCTGTGAAATCATTTTTTATACTTTACTGGTAGTCTGCTGATTTTCACTTGTCTGTCAAAGTACAAAATTCAGTGTGGTTTCTAACATTGGTATGCATATTTAAATTCAGTGTGGTTTCTAATAATATTAGTATGCATATTTAAAAGTTGAAATAAGTTTGAAAGGTACTTTGCCATATATAATACATGGTGCTGTGGCCTATCTAACTATAGTCATGCATTTTGTAATTTATCTGTGACAGTATTTCTCAATTTTTATTTGGTAGG